CTGGGAGAGAGAAAACTGGAGCTAGCTAGCTGTGGTGAAGGGTGTTTGGATTCCACAGTGTAGACAGAACCATGCCTAAATATTCACAAGCAACCTTTCCATGTGTCAGAAACACAAGGGCTTTCCCAGGTAAGGGGGAATGTCATGGAAGGTGGAAGCCAGTCAGGAGACCTAGCTGGAAACCATCTCCAGACAGGCGCAGGATAGAACTGACACCCCTCAATACGGAGCCCATTTTAAGTTACAACCTGACCTCTTTATGAAAAGACAAACGTAGAAACAACATGAGAAAGAACACAAACAAACTGCTCACAACTACTAGCTGAGGCATGGTCTCCAAAGCCTAACAGCAAATGCACACGTCTTGATGAAAATGTTCCCATCCAATGAATGCATCACAGACCTGGGGCCCTTCCAGGTATCTACCGTGCGTCCACTTTAGATGTGTCTGCGCCGCCTGCCAACATCTTGTTGAGTGACTGGGCTCAGTCTGTTACTGGCGACATGTTGACTCCCAGTAATTTGTGATAATTTCTTTAATTGAGCAAAAAAGAACTCTCTAAAATGAGGGTGGGTCAATCAAACTTCAGGGCAAGAGGTCAGTAGAAAAAAGCCCCCAAGTCCCATTCCTGGAGTCTTGTGAACTAGGTTTACACCCAAGCCACACCAGCAGCCTCCACTCTTTTGTTAATCAGGAAACCTTCTGCCAAATGTCTGTTTTAAGGAAACACACACACACACACACACACACACACACACACACACACACACACACACACCATACACTTCACACTTGAAAACAGGTCTGCAAAAGTTTTCATGAGAACATAATCTCAATTAGAAGCATACAAATTCCAAGCCTACTTAATCAGGTAATGCCATAACGTTTCTATTCTAATTAAAAAATAATTTCTTTTATTACTCTTAACAATTTGGTGTGCTTACATCTGTAAAATTATGAAAGCAAAACTATTTGATTTTCCTGTATGGTGAGTTCCTCAGGTAGGCGATTCCAGGACTGCTTTAATTATTATTAAACAAGTCAATGGTATGCTATTAGACAAATATTAAAACAAGCATTGCACTTGGTTATTAATTTGAACTATTCGCTTTTAAATGCGGCAAATATCTCATTAATTTAATTTTAGGTGCCCACCAGTTTATATTGCATTTTACAGTCTAAAGGCAATTTACTATTAACTGGCAATTACATACACAGTGATTGTTAATTCTGCTCCTAAGTGCTAGCCGCTTGAAAATTGTTCTCTCTCTCTAATTTCTGACCTTCTTACAGCAGGGGTGAGGCTCGCTGGGAATACAGAGAACTCCTATGGAAGAGCTGGACATGTCATTTGTGGCTCATTCTTTTAATTCACCGTGCTAATCAACTGAACCGCCACAGCCTCCCAAGGTAATTGTGACTTGAGAGGGACTGTGAACAGCAGCCAAGGGGCTGGATGGATGGGGCCTGGCCAGCCTTCCCCTTCCGGGGGCAGAGGCTGAGCACGACCACTCTGGGTTGACTAATAGGGTCTGGTTTTGAAAAATCTGGTGTTTCTCAGGTCACTGTAAACAGCTCATTTAGACCTCTGCCAAGTCCCTCCCAGGCTCTGGCAGGCTGGTAGCCGCCCCTCCTCCAAGCCCAGGTTCATTATCCAGTGGCCCTGCAGCCCCACAGCTGGCCTCATGCCGGGAAGGTTAAATGTGAAGGTGTCCCAGCAGCCTCCGGGGCCTGGGCACACTGATGGGAACCAGATGCCCAGGGGACGGCGCCCATGTTGTGACATCCAGAGGGGCTGGCTCAGTTTTCATTGGGGAGAGTGAGTCCCTGTGATTACCTCATTGTCCCCATCAATTTCAAGGCAATGCAAATCAGACAGAAGCTTCCAGGCCAGACAGGTTATGACCCCACCTTTCCTCAGTTCCCTGAGAATATAGAGTCCTGTATCCCTTACATGCATGTGAAATGTATATTCCCGGTAATTATCTCAGACACACACACACAATGGTTGAGCTGGCATAGCCTCATATCAAATGCCCACACATGGGGAAGCAGGAAACCCCCAACCCCAGGGAGGCAGGACCTGAGTCTTGGGGGCTAACAAGTCCAATCAACTTGAAAGTAGTCTCAAGACCTACTTTCTCAGGTCTCAAGTGAGTCTCAAGAAAGGCTCGTGTGACTCTAACAAGCTCCAGAGCCACTACTTTCCTTTGGAAGAGAATGGACACTGGTCAAGAGGGGCATTCCACCTGGCCAGAAAGCAAGGAGCTTCAGAGAGAGTGCCCTTCCCACCTATCAGGAGAGCCAGTAACTGGGGCTGCTACTATATGACCCTTGCTAGCCAATGACAAGCAGCTCCTCCTACCCTGTACACCTGCATTTGTTCACAAGTGTTCAAACCAGGGCCTATCTGCAGGCAAAGGAGGGAAAGCAGGACCCGGACCTCTCTTGCCATCAAAGTGCTTGTAAAGAAAGGCCCCCACTTCTAAAAGCAGCTGTCTTCAACACTCAAACAAAAATCCCAAGGATACAAAGGCTCGGGGAAGGACTTGCCTAGCACAGTCCCAAAATAACTCAACAGGACCTCATAACAATCAAACTTGACAACAAGGAAGGCATGCATGGGAGGAGTAGGCCAGGCTTGCCCACTGTGGACACAGGCTCACTTTGGTGCCACCCGCCGAGCCAGGCCACATGAGCAGCAGAGAATCTCGCTCTGTACACCCAGCCCTGACATGTCTATCACAGCTTGGTGTCAGTATAAGAGCAAGTATGCATCATCTCTGAACCCAAGGAACTGGTGACATGAGCAGGGGCCCATGGACCCTCGCCAAAGTCCAAAATGCCAGTCGCTCTCCACAGCCAGTACTATTTACTAAGTGCCCTCTGTATGTCAGACACTTTAACTTGTTCTTGATCCTTGCCAAAACCCAATGAGGAAGAGAGGAGAGAAAATTGAACTCGGAGGAGTTCAAGTTCACATGGTCCCACAGTCAGCACCCTGGGGCATTGAGCTGTCTAGCCAACTATTCTAGGTCTTTGCATAGGGCCTTTTGCCTCTATAGCCTGAAGTTCCTGGATAGAGACCCACACATGTGATACCCACACCAACAGTTGCCTTGAGGAGGTATATTGAATGTGGGGGGTAGGGAGGGGAGGCTGTAGCTCATTCCTACACATGACCCCAAGTCAAAAGTACTGGGGATGCCCAACCAGGCCCAAGACAGGATTCCAACTTCTCACCTTCCCTGGAATTGGGCATCTAGTGTGGGTGTCCTTCGTTGAGCAGCAACGGCACTTATTGGAAGGAGTATGCTGATGTTCCTGAATTGACTATGGGTTAATATGTAATATTGTACGTTGAAAATGTCTTAAGCTGAGTGCGAATTCAAGACATTTAATGGACTGAACTTCCTCACTGAGCACAGCTTACTTTCACTATGTGCAGAGCACTTACAAAAACTATCCATTGTGAAGCCCATTTGATAATACAGTGTAGAACTGCATGTTTACTGAAAGCAACAAAAGAAAAAAAAGATACATACTGGTGACTATGAGGTGGGCACATCTTTCCACCACCAAAAAAGTCAGAAATAAGCAGAAGTAATGCAATTTGGAAGACTACCTGCACAGTTTTTAAAAGATGTCCTAATTTTTATCATTTTGTTTTGACACATTTTTATTTTTTTAATGCACTGGGGGCTTCAAAATCTAGAGGAACTGCTCTTGACCTCTAGACTTTACAGGAAGCCAAGAATATCCAGAGGTGCAACTTGTTGCTATGTCCACTCCCCTGTGTCCTTCGGTTCTAAGGTGCCTCACATGGACCATTTATAGGTGCTGGTTATCAGGAGCTGATGCCTCTAGGGTAAGGACCCAAGCCCGGCCTGGGGTGGCAGTAAGCCTGCTGAGGGGCAGGGAGTCTGTATATTACCACTCTGTTCCTTCAGTACTTCCTATAAAGGGAAAGAACTCATCACTTCCACAATCTCCAGGAACCTCAATGTGGAAGCAAGGGCCTCAGAACCCTCCATGTAACCTGTCTGCTGGACAGAACAAAGGGCAGCAGCCAGTGGGATCCCAGCTCAGCCCCAGGGCACCTACAGGTGGTAGAAGAGTGGTCAAGCCCGGAGCTCCAAGCCCTACAATGAGGAAGTCACCCCATCACTGCACATCCGCAAATAATCAACAAGCATCCACCCCTTCTCGCACCTTCCCTGGGCTTCAGCAGGTGTTGCCCTGCATCAAATCATTCCTCCTGTGTTAAAGCCTGTGGAACTGACTGAGAGTAAAAGCCAAAATGCAGACATGTCTTCCTTAAGGTGAAGTTTATTTGTGGCACTTCTCCATGGTAATCTCAAGAAAATCATGTCAATTAAGCACTTGTGTGAGCAAAGCAGCATATAAACACCTTAGTCACACAGCCACCCATCCTCCCCACCAGGCCTGGGCTATATACTTACTCTATACATACATACTCTCTGGAATGCAGATCCCCTGTAAGCAACAGCGCCCTGCAGGGGTTAAGATCCCAAGCTCCAGTAAAGAGACCTGGCTTCCACCGGAAGCCTAGGTATGTGACAGGATATGATTTCTGCTTCCCAGTCACCGCTCAAGCAACTGAAAAGCAGTGATGAGCCTGATTGACAAGCTGGTGGGCACAAGGCTTTGCATGCAGCTAGGCACACGGCAGCCACTCTCACTGAAGCTAGAAACTGGAGGCTGCTGCAGTTACCAATAATTTTCCCTCTGTGCAACACTTTGCTCTGCTGGAAACGGGCAAAGACCTTCAGATGGAAGGAAATTCCAAGGTCACACCGTTGCGCCTGTCCAGCCATCGAGAGCTATCTTGGATGCAGATGGAGATGTGCACCTGATACAACTCAACAGTATGCCATGTCTCACTTGTACCTTCCCATGGGGTCCCTGAACACCCACCCCATGAGGTTCCCACTGCGGAGGAGCACCCACCACTGTCCC